GGCTGTGGGGACAGCTTTGCGTGGGTTTGCCGATTCCCCTGCAGTAATTCCAACCCTACGCAATCAATACAAGGTCTTCGTGTCCGTAATTCAACCTTCTGACTTACATCTCTGTCCCCGCATATAACGTTCCGGCAACGACAAAGGTCCGGGCAACACCATTGATAGAGTCCGCAAAAGGCCCCGGATCATGCCAGTACTTGAATCCAATTGGCTGAGGGCCTATCCCCCCTGTACTGATGCAAATCGCCAGTATAAAGAACGCAATGAGGGCCAGTATTTTGATTCTGGCAATAGTCAATCAAATGCACGTAGGGAGATCCGCAGGAGACATACAATGATAGCCAAAATTCCATCTCGCCATAGGCCAAAACGCCTAGATTAGACAGACCCAGAAATATGAACCAGAATATGAGTATCCAACCCCATTGAGGTACAGCATCGGTCCAGTATCCTATAACAAGCGAGATGGCATTATATTCATTGGCAAGAACCTAGAGTGGTCAGGACTGAGAGTCACAGTAGAAGAGCAGGTTCGGTCTACCGTCACCCATAGATACCAGTAAGCCCATCCTAGCCCAAAAGCAAGAGAGTCATCGATGAAACGCTGCGCATACTCGGTAAAGGAGCCAGTAACCGGAATGAGTGTAGCCATTTCGCCCAACGATTGCCTTGCTCATCAGCCATGGCTATTTAAGAGACTCGGCTAGGACTTACATGACAAAGAAAACTATGATACCAACCAAAGAAAAGCTGATCAACACCCCCGCTGGACCGCCCTTGCTGAGGGCATTGCCCGAACCCACCAGCAAGCCGGGTCCAATAATTCCTGGCTTGACGTTAGGCGTGCATTCGCTTGGTTGTCAAAGCGAGACATACCTCCAATAGCGATCATATGTAAATGTCTCGACCGCAGATGTCGTTTCAACGGCGCTGCAAACACATCGTGTCGGCCTTCTCCCACATCAGCCGCCGCGAAACGAGATCGACAGCCCTCCTCGTCCCAAACCTGAGTTTCCGCTCCAAACTGGACTCCATCCTTGTTTGATTTTGCCGCCATTGCCCACCGCATGCAATCTCTCAGACTACGTGGTTTTGCTGAAAGAATTGGCACGCGGAGAGAGCGATGAAACAGGGAGAGCGAGATTTTGTAGACGCAATTTGACTGCCTCGCTGCACTATTAAGCTGAAATCTCAGTTTCGGTCAAGAAGCACGTGGGCTACATCCCTCGTCATTGGCAGGCATAAACCACGCTCATTTGTCGGTGATGTCGTGATATTCCCGTAGCGGAGCGTTATCACCCAGATCGTCGCCCCCACCACATTATCGACATGTTCGAAGTCGGGACTTGTGAGAGTCAATGAAGGAGCACAAATCTGTCATTCTAATTGCCCAAAATGCCACAACTTCCTTTTCTGCATGGAGCGTCATTGGTGTGCCACTGAATATCAGCTTGACTGAATGCTCGTACCAATGTTACACCCTTTATGAAGTCTTGCCCGGTCAGCTTCTGGGAAAGCCAAGAAGCGGAACTGATAACGGCGCCCTCAGAGCAGTCTTGGCCCTTATACGGAGTATCCAAGAACCTTCCCTGATCGCCATTATTATGATGTATTGCACCATAGCTTCTGCTTCTTGTGGAGAAGCACGGTATAGTTGACTCGGCTCGAGCTCCTTCGCGGTCTCGCATATACGCAGCGCAAACATCGTAGGTGCTGCATCATGAGGGCACAAACGCTCAGACAAGTAAAACATCGTCGAGTATGTGTGCTGTCGGCTAAACTGCGCAACATCTTGCATGTCTCGCGGTGCGTCGTATGTCATATGTTGGGAGTTATTCTGCTTGCCTTCGTAGCCTAAAGTTCCGGCCTTCAGACTCAGTCACATCAACTTTCTCAAGATTGATTAACGTAAGGGTCAAGGGCTTTTTGGTCAAGTTAAATCGTAGGACTTATTTCCCCTTGTGCTGCATCGGGTCTTGTCTGCATGGGTTGTGGCATCTCGAGATGAGCCAGGGGCTGGTTGAGCCCAACTTCACTCTCGGGGTCTGTTGATGAAGGCTAGAGCGAGGCACAGAGCCAAAAGCATCGTGTGAAAAGATCAAGATCTTTTTGTTTAAGATTGTGTCAGTTGCTCGATACGAGGGCTCTCAGTGAATGCAAGCGTATGGATGATTTCTGTTTCAAACTTAGCAGAGACGTGTGCAGAGAGAGTTGACTCAGAATCCATGTCTGATAGTCGAGACGGCCTTCTGTCACATGCCTCCATGGCTCTTGCTTGGAATAGAATTGCATGGCCTAAAAATAATTTACTCTCAAACAGCTGCATCATTCATGAATTGAACAACAAGTTCCTGAATTCGTTTTCATAGATACGTCGACATATGACTATGGACACACCAGCTTTTCCAATTGTTTTTCCCAGTCAGTGGGCATTTTCATCACCATCCACGATTATCCCTGGACCTTTGAAGCAAGAAATTTAGCAGCATCATCTGCGTCCGCCCCATAGCTCAAGTGGGCAGCGGTGATAATCAGTGTATTATCACAAACCAGATCACCAACAGCGCAATAGATCTTGGTCTGATCCTTGGGGTAACCCGGGATTTGTCCCTTGTCAACCACATTACGGGTGAAGCCAAAAAGAACCACTCCCTTGACCTTCGCTTTCAGATCACTGTCAAGCGCCTGAATCGAGTTATCGATGACAGCGGAACCTTGGCTGTTATATCAGGTTAGCTGCGGGGCTTCACCGTTTCAGATGCAGATGATATACCTGTATCCACCAGCCACGATCTTCGTATTCGGGCACTTGGTGTTAGCCAGGTCGAACATATCCGTGGCCGCATCGATGGACGCCTGATCCGTGTTCTGGGAAAGGAAGTTGGGGGCCAGTTGGGCGGTATATGCGCCGCCTACGCCCTGACAGGCGACCTTGTCGGAGCCGAGATCGTTTTTCAGCGAGCTGCAGACTCCAGGTCCCACAATGAACCCCTAAGCTTGTCAACTCTGTCACGAAGTCACGTTAGTGAACACCTGGGTGAGAGACATACCATGTTGCCCTGCTCGGTGGAGCCTCGAGCAAAGATAAAAGTCACATCACGACACGGGCCGCTCTCGAGCTCGTTAGAGCTCATGCCTTGGCGGGCCTGAATCTGGGGGGCAGGTGCCGCCAGTGCCAGGGTGGCCAAGCCAGCTACGAAGAGTGAGCGCAGAGACATGTCGATGAGGAGCTCAGGCTAGAGATTGATCTGGAATGCCAAAATGACTGGAAGCAGTCTCGACGACCTGGGAGAAGAAGATGCTGGTGGTACTGCACTCAACATCATGCGCAGCACGCGCTTTATATCACCTCAGTATGTCCATATCTGGATACATCCCCGAAGTATGCATATTCAGAGAACTTTCAGGACCTCGTCTTCCTCAACTGCCGACCCGAGGCATCTCATATAGTCAAGAGAAGAACCGTGGATCTACAGGAGTCTCGTGGCTAAGGCTTGAGCTAAGCTTGTCCGCATGTCTCAGGATTGAAGTGTTTCGGCAAAACTCCGCCGGCATACTTCGGAACTATTGCAGATGATTGGGCCTAGATCCTCCACTGCAGAGTGCGGGGAATCATGAGACCTCACGTCTCAAATACTTCCTACGCATCCGCAAGGCTTATTAATAACCCTGATTGGACCGGGTACCTTTTACCCCGTACTGTGGCTGAACTCTATCGCCTGAAGTGCCGGATTCTTCCACGCATCTGCGTGTCTGGGGAAGCGAAATGCATTGCAGCGTTGAAGTCAAGTTACGTGCAATGCCGAATCGATGTAGTTCCATGACTCGTAGTCGTGAGGCAGTTTCAGAACGAGGACCTTGCGGAACCGAGGTGTTGAGCATGAGTTGTAAGTTCGATTAGTTTCATGTCATTCTTCCATGGTTCCGTGCGGGTCTCAAAGTGGCCCAACTCAAAGTGTACCTCGACTCAAATTTGAGATCACCGTTTATTGCTGGCTTCGCAGACGGTTCTGCCCTAAAGTGGATTTCGGAGGTATTTCCTATTGGGGTGGCAATGGAAAGTTAGAACGGTTCTCGCACTTTTATCTGTAGAATGTAGAGGGATAGTATGAGGGATATCTATTCCCTGCCGAGCTCCATCAAATTCACCATGACTCAAAGCCTTACGTGACTGATTAAGGAAGATGGGCTTCATCTGGAAAAGAAAGCATTGGTGCTGACATGTACAATGTCTTGCTATTAGCTCAGTCTAAGTAACCTGGGTATTTTCACAGCCAGCAACAGAGAGCAGTGCCTACCTACTGTAGTCGACTTGACCATCATTTAGTCACAAGTGCGGAGAATTATCGGTAAATCTTCTGACTCTCTCTTCATCCCAGCAAATCCCGTTACTCTATAATTGCGGCCCGCCTCTTGCTTTTGCGAGACGGTCCGTCTTTCCGATCCCCTACATGGTTTTGATACCGGCGTCTTAAAACTGGTTATTTCCGAAAAAGAACGTGCCGTAGAGTCACACATAGTCCTACATATTTGGGTGCTCTCTGCCTCTCGGTACAACTATCTCCCCTTAACCATTCTAGTTGAGTGTATTCGAGCTTTGCCAAAGAGAGGCCCCTGGGTGGACGGGCCACGAGCGTTCACTTTTTTAGATACGCATCAGTAGCAAGAGTAAGAGGTAGGGGCTCACAGCGCCTGGCCTATAGCGTAACCCATCAATCTCTAGTCCGCAAACTTCTAGCATGATGTGATATCCTAATTCGAGGATCAATCAAGAACATAAGCATATCATCCCATGGAGAACTCATAAATCACAATTCAGACATCATCTGCTAGCTGAAAGGATAGGATACTAAGACTCGCTCAACTCCTAAGCTGCAGATTCTGTCACTAACTATAAGAAAGATACATACCGCACTTCAATCATTCAGTGCTCATTGTGGGTCAAACATCACTATGCTGACTTTTACAAGCACTGTTAAACCCCTCTAGTAACACCTTCAGTTCCGTGCCACAGCGGCGGTCTTCCTCTCAATATTCAGTCCGCGCTCAAGAATAGTCGTAGCCTTCTCCCAGCGTCGCATCTCTCCCGGACACTTGGCCACGTGCCACCAACCCTTCACATAAGCGGCAGGCCTGCAATCACAGCTAGACCTGGTATGTACCTTGGCTTCCCACATACCGAGGCTCTTGATAGGTGTGGCTGTTTTCTTCAACCCGAAATGAGCCTTGTGCGGCCATCAGTAACAGAAACAGCAAAGATGGCTCAAATCCCATTGACCGTGGCCATCCGGTCAAGCGAATATCTCATAGACGCCAAGGCATATGGAGTTGGAAAGTATATAATCTGATTCTTTTGTATGCGGACCTCGGTTCTGATCGTATGCGGGCTTCTGTTCAAGCTCTAGTGTGGAGGTCAGTATATGCATACCGATAGCGACAAGACAATGTAAAGCAATAAGAAAGTAGATTAGCGGAATTCTTACCCGAAAGTAAGTTCATGCATGCTAACCGCAGACAGGCAGTTTCAGCATTGCGTCTCATTCCTGGAAGGTCAGGACAGGATTGATGAGTAGGAGCAGATCTCGGTTCGACCCCGGCTTCTCTTGAGCAAATCCAAACATACGGGGACAGAACCTCAGTAAGTAATACCAGTATAAAGGCTGCGCTGTTTATAAAGGCATGATGTAGACTTGCCCTACTTCTAAGGCCACCAAAGCAAAATGTGATGATCTCGCAAGGTCCTTGGCGCAGATTGATGTTTGTATGTTTATAAGTGCGCCTTCGCATTGCTTCAGCTGGACGTTGATCGTCTCTAGTTTCTATTTGCCCTGAAAATCTTTTCAAGTGTCATATGACGGTGCAATGAACGAAATACTCCTCATTTGCTTCAGAGTCGAGGTTGAAATACGACTTCCACGGAGTACCTTGCCCTGGACGTGTGAGCACTTCTCCAAGTACGGCTTTGTATGAGCGCGTTTTGACTGCAAGAGGCTTTCTCATCGCTGTCCATTGTCAATCCCAATTTCAAGCCGTTCATCTAGTTACGTGATGTGGGGTTGTATCTATATCAACCTGGAGCATCTTCAAACGCTTATTCTACCCTGGGCAAGACTTCTTTTTCAAATTTAACGTCTAGTCGTGGATAGTGGATGTTTCGATTTTATTCTATTCATCTCATTAATGATACTTTCCAATCATGAAGATGTGCAATCGTCAAGGCAATCGACAGGTCATCACTTCGGGCCAGTGTACTTCAAAGAGAAAACACCCCGTTCAATGCTGTTCAGGAGAATGTTGCCGCTCTTGAAGTAAGGATAAACGCTCCAGCTTCCAACAAACTCAACCTTGCCACCTTCGGCATCATCAGCAGGGTGGCAGTCAAAGAAGCCGACCTGCTTGAACTTCGAAGCAGTGGGATCCTGCGCGACGGACCTGACATCCACGATGCGCAGGCCACTGCTGTAGTTAGACATGTAAGAGAGGCCATTGAGCACGTATTGGTTGTGGTCGATCGATTTAACGGGAGACTGGTAAATTCCAGTATGCTTGGGTTTAGCAAGATTGCGGATGTCGAAGATGTAAGTTGTAGTATGCCCGTTGGCGGCCACCCCGGTCCCGTCCTGCTCGTCGAGCTCGTCATCGAGCAGCAGATACGACATGTTCTCCATGTCGGTAACCCAGCCCTGATGAGTGTAGCTAGAGCCAGCGTAGGGAGTCTTGGAGATTTGCACCGGGGATTTCTTGTTCGTGACGTCGACGATGGTCAGCGAATCCTCGTTGTAGTTGAAGCAGATCTCGCGTCCGTTGTACTTCTTGTCGGGTCCCTTGTAGATGACACATTGTGCTGTGATTGTTAGTACCGGCATGCAACGATCAGGCCTAGCAACGGCTTACCGTCATGCACATAGCCATCCTGGTTCACACAGCCGGGCGACGTTGGCTTCGCGGGATTGGAAACATCCACCATCCACAGGCCTCCAGCGCAGCTATGAGACCTGGTCGTTCCAACTGCGTAGATCATGTTCGTCTCCTCGTGAGCGACGATATTGTGAGAGCTCCCAAAAGCGTTGTACCAGGCCTTGAGATCGCGGGAAATCGAGAATGTGGTAGGTTTACTAGGATTCGTGCGCAGGAGCTAGCAATGCCGCATACAAGGTCAGCTATCCATACTCGACACGATCGGGGTAAGTATCACTCAACAGACCTTCTTCAGATCAAACACTTGGAGGCCGTGACCAGGAGCCTCTGATCCGATGTAGACATGGTCACCAATAACTTTCATGTCTCTCCACACGCTAGACTCTGTCTGAGTTGGCAGCCGTCCGAGATAGTCGAGGCTTCCATCCGCATGCACTTCAACGAAAGCCGTGCCATCAGTTTGACCGATGATGCCAAATTCACGACCATCGGGCGAAGTCCATCCTATAGGATTTTAGTGAGCCTTGCTAGAGATATCCTCAGTCAAGAAGCATACCCCAGATGTCATTGCCCTCACGAGTCGTGCTGCCCATAGCCTGATGACTGAGGAAGCCAAGAAGGTCGACATTCTCACACGAGTACTCTCCTGCTTTTCCATTGACGCACTTCTGGCTTCCCAGATCAGGATACTGGTTGGCATCGAAAAGACCTTCAGCCCTGAATCGCTCTCTCTGCTCGATCTTGACAGACATGAGGCGGTCCATGGCCGCTTCCCCCTCTCGGGAGGCCACAGCGGCACAAGCCAGGGACAACAGTGAGAAAGCTGTGAACTTCATGTTGTCTAGATATCTTTTTCTCTCTGCGTATTAGTACTGACGCTCTGAAAATGATGAAAGTTCAGAAGCAGATCCTGCCATCTACCCGGCTTTTATAGTTGGCTCCCTCGGCTGCCAAACAACCCAAGGCACTTTGTGGATCGTCATGTCTCCTTTGCCAAGTAATTTGTGAATATGCCTCCTTCGCCTCTTCTTCGCCAAGTATTCACACATTGCAGTTTTTGGAAGGTCCCTAAGAGGGGTATTATTCACAGACACTCGATTGAGCTTTGGCCGACGGACAGACGGTGGTGCTCCGTATTGATAGCGGTTACCCCACATTCAGCAGATAAGGTCCTAGAAAGCAGAATGAAGCATGGATGATTAGCGGGATATCTTCCCTATGCCAACACAAGGACGCGGAGAGTCTTGGGTTGCAATGATAATGCATCTTCTTACTTTAGAATTCTTCTGGTTGGACCACCAATCCTTTAGCAATATGACGGCCACGCTCGGCAAGCTTGGCTTTGCTAATTGTAACCCAATCAACGCCCTGCAGAATGGACTTAGATCCAGTGTACCGTTATGTCGGACAATATGAAGATCTTTTCTTTGATGGGCAAGATGCCCGTGAAGGTCTTCCTCGCACAATCACGAGACCCCTTCACACCTTGCCTTGGCAGAGACGGGGCCTCAGCGAGTCAGCGACGGTCACCGAGGCTCACAATATCTGCTACAGGTACAATCTAAGTATGTCATTCTTGGCAAGTAGGCTCTTAGGCAGAGTACCCCGACGGTCACCGGATAGGTCCCGTACCCAGGAAGACTGCATATCCCGTTGCGTGATGATCATGCTGGATGGTCAACGACGATGTCGTACCAAATATTAAAACATGCAACCCTAAGATATCGGAATCTCAATTAGATGCTCTCCTTCTCAGTGTAATTTGGAACGTCGACCCATCCAACTCACGATGTCGAATCACCAGGAGTGCGCCAAGAACTGGGGAAATGGCAGGGAATGCCGCCTTGTCTGGGACTGAGACAAGCCAAGAGGCAAGCTTTAGCTTGAGTGCCTGTCCGACTCTTATCAAAATCATGCGCGACGGAGGGCTGTGCATATTGACCAGGTATGATAAGACCGCTCACGTTGTTACGTTATAGGAATGTGTGTCAATCTGCACGAGACTTTCGTCGAGACTTGTTAGCATGACCAATAAAACAGTTTGGACGGGAACTAAAATGCAAGCATTTTATATGCAGCTTACCGTCCTCGTAGCTTCCCAAGCGGACATTCCCATGAAGCCTGCTAGCTAGTCGCATAGGTAGCTAAACGCAATGCAGCGGATGTACCTGCCCAGTATCGTCAGTCATTGTACTTATTCTTAATCCCTTTCGAGTCACATGCGGACTTTCGTTGTGGGGAGTGTCTTGGATGAAGAGAGCCCAAACCACTCCGAGAACACAGCCGAGCGAACAGAAATCCGGAAGCTTGACACAGCTGAGCTTTCAACGAGCGACATGCACTTTTCGTGAACAGAAGAGACAAAACCTGTGTCAGACCAGACGTCCGTCAGTAAGAACGAGATTGTTCATACTGCCCAAATATTGCTTTAGGAAGAAACGCTCGTTGACCATAATTTTCCGTTTGCCCTTAGATCCTGCTGCTGCCAACATCATCAAGAAGCTTATCTAGTCACCTAGATCCTTGATCTCGGTGCTTTGTGGCATATTTCAATAAGACCTAAAGCTGGATATCGCAGCATCGTTTCTATCAGCGGAATGCAAGACATGACGCTGATCGCAAAAACCCTTCACATATATAAAGTATATAACGAAATTGCACATGATCGCAAAGTATCTCGAGGGCGCTCGCACGACCCTTGACGAAGTATTTCAGACCCCTTCGGTCACCCTGCGTTCTGTCTCATATGGCACTGGCACGTTCGGATCTCTCCTGTCCTCTGCCCTATCGAAGTCGTGTAGATATGTTGTGTCCGGCAATAATTTCGCTAAAGCAAACAGGAGGGAGGTAATTTGCCACGGTTTAACGCCTCGAACCTAGTAAGAATGCAGTCACTTCATGAGCGATCCTCCGTGCAGTATCTCTTCTGGTCACATACCTGGGCCAGCTCACCTCGGAGGCCTCACATATCTCAATCATAAGGCCCCTCTCACGCAAGAGTAGGAGAGCCGAGGATAACCCCCCAGCCAGCAACACGCAACAAATATGACATTCGGGTCTCGATCGAGTACAGCAAAGGTTGTATTCTGCATTGTGGTTTTGAACAGAGGTTTCGAGAAGGAGACGGTCACATCAATAACGAAGCTTATAGCTCACGATGGGAAATGTTGTCAATTCGCACGCATCACCGGCGAGCTAGACGCATCTAAGAGTAGGCATAAAATGTTAGCAGAGATTTACAGTCAACAGAAATTAGAATACTCTTGTTGAGCCTAGGTTGTTGGTGTTCTGATGAGAGGAAGATATGCTGGGTCGCAGTTGCCTTCACAGAAGGAGGCATTAATCGACTCAGAAAGCATCAGCTTGGGGGCCTCAGGCAAAGAGATTAAGATAAGAGAGCCACCTCATATACTCGTAGTTTGAGAAGGCATCTGAAGGAAGGCAGGTACGACAGGGAAGGAAGAACAGTTACAAAACACCTGATATAAGAATCGACTACAGAAGCAACTACGTATGTACCTCAAGCTACAGCAAGAAACTTACGAAACAAGAAGCATTATAGAAAGAGAAGCAAGAACGTGTTTACATTGCTACATCTGAGTAGTATACTTTGGAAGAGTTGAATGAGTTCATTTCGAAGTACAACGGAAGATACAAGAGAACACAGAGAGTAGACAAAAGAAAAGACAAGATCAACAACCCCTCTCACTCCCTCGCTGCCCCCACAAGTTCCTTTTGTCGAGTTCGCTTCGTCGAGTCTCGGTTCGTCTGGCGCTCCTAGAAGGTTTATAAAAACTATCAGCCGGTTGAACCGACTGCTAGGGGGCAAAGGGGAACTATGACAGGGGAGGTGCACAGGTAGGGCAGAAGATGGAGGGAGCCACGAGCAAGCAACTGTCCTTGATACATGGAAGGTGAGAGAGTAAAACCTCCAACAAGTACTTGACTGAGCTCTCTTCTTCCAAGGGGCCAGTTGAAATCTCTCCCCAGAGACTGTGATACAGATGGCCGGCGCCGAAACGTTGTATCCCGGGCATGGTCAACAGCACTCTTTTGGTGTAGGGCGTACTCAACCAACGAAAGCATGCAGTGATCGGAAGCAGAGTCGTATTGAGCCGTACGGAGCACAAGGTGACTCAGGTTGCCCCGAGGCCTGGGAGAGCGTACTATATCGCTTCGGCAAGTCCCTTAAGTGACTCCAACTCTCGTCCACAACAAACCAGTGCACACTCCCACAGGGAAGCGAGGAGCCAGCAGGATGTCCACATGCTCAGGCAGAGGGGGAAAGGGGAAAGATGAGAAAGGGCAAAACAGAAAGGAAGAGCGTTTGAAGGGGGGGACCTAGCTTCTATCATATCAAGAGAGTCAAGTGTTGTTCAACACAAACAAGCAGACACATGTCTTCGATTGAAGGGCTGCATGAAGGAAGAGGATGATAAAAAGAAAAGAAGAAGAGAGAACAGATGCTGCTAAGAGAGAAGGAGAGGGTTGAAGACGAGAAGGAGAGAGAGGAAGAAGAGAAGGAGTTGGAGAGGGAAGAAGGGGGTATTTATACCTGGGGGGAGAGCCAAAATCACACTAACTCTCGCCTAGCTAAGCGAGAGATATTCACTGTCGTCGCTTGCAAACTGATCTGGAAGCAGAATTGAATGACGCGTGGTGACTCAAGTTGTGGTGGCAGGCAGGGAATCATGATGGTTGACCATGGTCGAAGCCCGTCGAGCTGAGGTTATTCACTGCTCCCCCGGCAAAACCTGCCACTTCCCCAGTCACCCCATCAGGAATTAAGCAATTCCGGGAGAAGTATCCACTATCTAGCCGTCAGGGAACGTGGAACTTGCCAGGAACTACGCAAATTTTAGTGGTTGACCTGCTATGGTCTTCGAGTTATTCACTTGTCTACTTCAGCGAAGAGCGGAACCGGCTGCCAGCTACAGAGAAGGCAAGAGAAGGCAGGGGGAGTATCCACTGGATCAGTGTCAAATTTCCTCATGCATTTGACTTCTCCAGTACTGGATTCATGGTTCAGGTTAGGCAGAAAAACTGCTCACTGTAATGATACTCGAGCAGAGAGAGGTGTCCAAACTGAGAACACCGAACTTTACCACTCTCTCCTGAATGTACGCGGATCCTTCCAATGTAGCAGTGCCTCTACAGCTTTCTCTGGCTTAGACTTAGCTATCGCATTTATTCAAGTTCAAGTCTCATAGTATTAACTTGTTCTGAGAACTGTTCTGCACCACAGTCTCCAGGTGCTACTCCACAATGCAACAAGGCTTCCTCTGTTTGGAAAACTGTGTACGGAACTATACGCGGGGGAAAGTACGGGGGCGAAGAGTAGTTCCATGGATCCAAGTATTTGCCCCCTGATGCTTGAATTCAACCTTAAAGTGTATCGTACATACTCGCAGGAATCGTACATTCTAGTAGAAAATGTAGAAGAAAACAGTACTTTACAGTAATTGTCTATTTTGGAGCCGAATTATACTATGTCAACTCTACATCAACACTTTTAGATGTGTTTAGACAGCCTGTCGATGAACGTCTCACCCCATCGAGCGCTGAAGTTTGTTCAGCGGACAGCGGACATGATTAAATATATGCAAACTCACCTTGTGTTAGTCTCAATGAAGGTTCTGAGATACTCGTATTTCTTCTTCTTCTCGTCCTCGCCCATTGTCACAGCTTTATAGACAGCGTCTGCCAGTTCCGTTGTGTTTGCAGGATGGAAACTGATACTTCCCTCTTTCATGAAGGAAGCTGCTCCCGCGAATTCGGAGAGCACCAGGACGCCATGCCGTTGTTCCTGACAGGCAACGTATTCAAACGACACGAGGTTCATTCCATCACGAGTAGATGTAAGAAGACAAGCATCCGCAATCGAGTATAACGCCGTAAGCTCGGTGAAGGGAACAGAGCGATGCATGTAGAGGAGGGGGACTCCATCGGGAGTGGCTGTTAAGATCATATAGTTCAGTATCCGTGTAATAACTCGCCCACGAATAGAATAGGACATGCACATACAGTGTTTTCCATTGATCTTCCCTGCCATCGTACTTAACTCTGTCTCCAACTCCTGGTATTCCTTGACATCCTCGCGACTCGGGACGGCAACCTGTATCAAGACAACTCTATTCCTCAACTCTGGGTGACGATCCAGGAAGTGGTCGTATCCCTTCAGTTTCTGCGTAAGTCCCTTGATGTAGTCCAGTCGGTCCACTCCAATGATGACCGTAATCCCCTTGTATTTCTCCTCCAGCTGCTTGATCCGATCCTGTACCTCTTGTTTCTTCAACGTATCCTTGAACTTTTGTGGATCGATTCCGACGATAAACTTATCCGTCTCGACTAATCGATCCTTGTATTGAATTCGGCCGGGAATCTCTGTTCGAGCGCCTCTGTCCTTTTGTCAGATTGTGCCCTATGCATGCACGGGTAGACCACTTACAAAACCTGAGCACAAGTCTGGATAAAGTTCGACTTGTACTCGTCCGTGTGGAATCCGATCAGGTCACTCGCCAGCATCCCCTCGAGCAGATCATTCCGAACAGGTAGCGCTCTCCAGAAGTCCCCCGCTGGAAACGGTGTATGTAAGGAGAACCCAATGGCGCATGGTTTTTCTTTGTTGAGTCGCTGACGCAGAAGCTTTGGGAGGAGCATGAGATGATAATCATGAACCCAAATCAAGCTACCCTTCGTAGCTGCCTCGGCCACAGCATCTGCAAACAGCTCATTGACGCGCCTATAGGCCTGCCATGGACCATCGTCGTAGACAACCCCAGACTGGTAGTGGAGTATAGGCCAAAGGATTGAGTCTGCGAGGGAGAACAACAGTAAGTTAGGAAGGAACGACAGGCTTTTGCCCAAAGACTTGCTCACGTACTTGAGAACTTGTTGTAATGCTCATTCGCAAGGTTTGTATCCAAGAAGACTGCGACAGCATTATGCTCATCAAGACTTTGGGCTACTAACTCTCGGTCCTTTTTCTCAGCGACTTCGAGACCAGGCCAACCGAACCAGCGGAATTCGGTGGATTTTGTCAATCCAGAGAGCGATGTGACCAGACCACCACTAGACAGACTAGACTGATATGAGCCATCGGTGCGTTTGACCGAAACAGGAAGGCGATTCGAAACAATGATGAGGTTTCGCTTCCCTTGCGAACTGTCGGGCGCCATTGTTGATGCTGATTAATTCTTTTCTTGCTTTAAAAGTCGTTGTATCGTTTTACTGTCAAGAAACAGAAATGTTCAGGTACGTCTACTTTCTAAGAGCAATGCAAAGAAGCGAGACTAATGAGAGTCCTTCTAAACAGTTCAAAACACACTCCCCTGTCATAGAGCTATTTTCACATAGACCGCGATACGTCAGCATGAAAAATATCTTACAGAAATTGAGGGCGACTATGCAGCCATTCGACCGCGTCTCAGTTCCTGTAGGTACTTGTCTACCTTACAATTTGTCTGGCGTCCGGAACACAATTCCGCACACAGGAGAGAAAGGGCTCGGAACGAATGACCCAGCTACAGGGCCCGCAGATTCCATGTTCGATGGCACATGAGCCCTATAACAGTCGAAAGTATCGGGTTGATAGAGAATAACTGCCCTTGAAGGCAGAAGTAATCATTTTATGTAGTCAGGTTGGTTATGTACGGGCAGCCAGAGTTCGGCGTCATATTAGGATCATCTTAGGGCAGTTGGATGAGCACGTAAATGTTGATCCTCCACTATCCACGACTGGTCAGTTGCTACTCTAAACCACTAGGCGTAGAGGCAACTGGGGCTAGAGAAATGATGTACGATATGATATGGTGGAAAGTTCGTTCGCTTGGAGATGAAGCACCTACTTAACTCCTGAGCCTGACACTATGCAATACCTCGCCTTCCTCACAGTGGACGCCGCCAAACTCGAGTATTCCTCGAGTACAAAGAAAATTGAAAGGAAAGATGATACATCGGAAGAGTTGATAAGCATCATGCTACAGAATCCACTCTAATGCAATTCTGTATCCAAAAGGTCGTTTAGTTAAATAAATAAATACCAGAAGGAAAATAAGAGAAGAAAGACGAAGTCTCATGAAAAATGTCGACTCCGTTTGACAGGACTCGGGGTGCGCATGTGATTCTCGCGATCACGGGTCCGTTCTGTCACGAAATCCATCTGCGGATGCTCAAGCATCAAGGGCAGCTCTGACTTGTTGTCAAGGTTTGGAATATGTCCCTGGGCGTGGTCACCGTAGGCAAGCCCTGGATTATGTTGGAAAGGATACTGCGACGACGGCATTGGCGGGTGGTGTTGGCCGGACGGCTGTCGAGAGAAAGTCGGTGGCGGAGTTGCATACTCATGCTGGTTGAAGCGGTTTCTGAAGGAGCGAAACGACCAGTTGCTGACAACAGTGACAGTCGAAATAGTAGCCAGGAAGAACATCTGCGTATAAGCGGTTAGCTTATTGTTTGTAAGGGAACAGAGTGGACCACGTACAATTGCCTTCCAGCTGATGGGATCAATAAAACTGTTGATGATGATAGCCATCGTATGAGCCGACACCTTGGCCCGTCCAACTTTGGCCGGGTCCCGGTTCATGCAGCGTTCCCAGTTTTCGCATACCGTCTCCAAGGCCGGTAGTCGCTCTCCACCAGCGCACTTGTTGTCCACGTAGCTCTTCGCGCAAACAGCCATCTCAGCCAGGATTGTATCAGACACTTCCTCCGCAGCCTGCTCAAATTCGGCTCGGATGGCCGAGACAAACCCGAACACCACGTAGACCGCGAGCGAGAACAACGACAAATTCACCACCAGCTGAGCCCACCATGACAGAATGCTGGGGACGTTGGGATGCGCTTCGAGCAAGGCGAAAAATTCCGAAAACGACGATAATCGCGACGGCGGCTTTCCTTCCTGTCCCTCTTTTTGATTTGAGTTCTTCCTGCCAGCCACTTTCCCTTCACTGCTGCTCGGTCGATCGCTGTCATCATCACTGTCGTCCTTTCGTATTTGTAACCCAAGCACCTTGTCCCGCCGGCGTCGCTTCTGTACCCGTCTCGCCAGAGCGTTGGAATAATGGTTCAATCTGGGAATCTCGCCGCGTCCAGGACTAGGCGCAAACTTGCCGTACATGCCAAATAGGGAGTTTCGATGTCCTGCTTTCACGGGCTGCTCGGGTGTATCCTCGTTGTCCGCGTTCTCGGGAGACGACATGTTCTCGGCACCGGAGGAGAAGTCCAAGTCCAATTTGCGCGGTGTCGTGAATGCTGTCTGTCCGAAAAGGGACTTGGGGTTCTTTGAAGATGAGAGAGACGGGTTCTGGGAGAAGAGGAAAGGTTGCGAATTCGGCGCTCGCAGAGCCGGGATTTCTTTCTTTTGAGGCGAGTCGAAGATCCTGTGAGGGCCTATCTTCAGGTCAGATACTCAAATCTTCTATAACAGGGTAATGGCGAATGACGCACGCTTTTTCTGGTTGTCATGTTGCATGCTGAGCTGGTAGAAGGGCGATGTGACGTCCCCGGGTGCTCTTGTCTGCCACTCAAAGTCCATCGGACTCTCTGCTGACCGTTTCTCCATCTTGAGTGCTACTGCATATAGGAGAGGATGCAGGTTTGAAGATCAGGAACGCTCGGTTGAAGACATCAATTCTAGAAATTATGCTGATAGTTTGGCCTGGCCGGTCGCTCAGACGACGACTTTTATCATTCTTTGTTTGGGGCTGTGGAGTATTGCCATAACAGGTTAGTCTTACCGCTTCAAGAATCGCGCTTTGGAATCAATCATTGTTGTGGTTTTGATTCCATGAGACAACGTTCTTTGGCTTGACTTCTGAGAAGCATCACGTATTATTTTATCTCAATAACGGATGATGAAGCTCTGGTCTTGACATTCAGGTGTTAGTGACTGTATGTGGACTGTGGCTGCATTATGCTGCAGTATAGCAGTGAGGAGCTACGCCATACTATACTCCGTACTCCACATTTAAACAGCTGGCTGTATGTCGCAATGTATCTTTGATCCAGAGATAATGCAGAGATATATTGGATCTCTTACTATTTCCATGGACTAGTTGTTCAGCGAATAGTAACAGTACTTTCTCTGTTTCGGCTGGACCTTTCTCATGGTATAGATGCCCCGCACGAACAAAAAGGATTTCATCGGTCGCGACTCATTGGTGCCCGACTTATCTCTAGCAACATCCTCGTCTGACTGGCACTGATCATTTGAAGACAACTTATTGTATTGCATCAATCACATATGAATCTGAATGCGATCAAGTATGGGTTTCACATGATACTATTGGGGTATAAATCATTCTGTCGGATGATAAGAGTCGTGATCACGCAGGACTAATGAAGAACAACGACGAAAGAACAGTCCACCGGTAGAATCGACTGATTCCACCTACGAAATCAGAGACGAGCACAAACATGTTCCAAGCATACCATCCTGAATCCAAAACCACGGATTCGTGAGGAATGAAGACGCTCTAAACCAACTCCGATCCCAGAACCATGTCAAGCAGCGCGATCAAACGCCAAAAAATAGAGAAAGTTGAAGACAAATTGGACAAGAGAACTCGTCACAGCTGAACATGGTCTACCAACTCGAAATCATCGTCAGCCAGATAGCCAGTTCCCATCTCGCTCTCATGTGAGACGATTTCATATTCCTTGACCAGCTTCTCGGTCTCCTTTGTCTCGTACTTCTCCACGGCCTTGTTCACGGCATCAGACAAGATTGTCTGACCAGATACCTCATACGGAATGGGGTTCTCGTCTTCGTCAACGATCACGACTTCAGGGCTCTTTTCAACGGCGACTGGTTCCTCGACTTCCTCGCCACTAGACGAGTCAGAGGTACCGGTGTCGAGGATGTCTTGGATATCATGGTGCAGGGAAATCCTGGAATAACGTGCGAGCTGGTTGAGGTTGTGTTGATTGGAACGCTTGATGACGCTGAAGTCAAGGTCAGCCTGTGGTCGAGACCATGTGATTCTTGCCTGTAAGGACAACTCACGGAAGATGACGGTGCAGTGGTTTCGCAGGGCGAGTTATTGGCAGGAAAGGGGCCACTAGGTTCTGCCGAGGAAGCGCACATCGGCCACCGTATGCCCATTTGGCCTTGCGATCGTGCTGTCTCTTTGTTTCGGTACCTGCCCGTCGCAGATCACTGTTGACGACAGTCTCGGACGCCATATTGGCTGTTGGGGAGGGGAGAATCAACGAAGAGAAGAGGTAAGCGGCGTGGGCGAAATGGCTATTGGGGAAGAGGGGCCCGGATAGTGCCTGTCGTTGGCTAGGGGAAGGTTGTATGGGAATGTTTATAAGACAGACGCGACGAGACCAGAAAGAGACGGAAGGCTGATGAATAAGAATGGGACCAAGGCGCAATCCAAGAGTAAATGCTTTGGTGATAGGGCTGTCTTTGTCTGAGTCACCAGCGTTGGCGTCCAGTCATCGATCAATAAGTAGTAACCGCAGTTGGAACAAACTGCTCAGCATCCATGGAAACCATGGATGGAATTTGGCAATAAATCTTGAAAGAGAGAAGAACCCTTTCAACAAGGAAATAGGACAAGACGACGGTAACCAGCCGAATGACGCCAGGGTCCTCAGACTGGAGGGAGAGGGGGGCGCTCATTGTCTTTGCCGTTATCACCCATCCGCGTGCGCCGCAGGCAGCACGAGGACTGGATAAGGCGCTGCTGATTGCGACATGCTAGTTTCTGCTGATTGATGGATTGATCATTACCATCTCAGGAGTGATCCCCTCGTCTAGACAATCATCACTAGTCTACTGTACAGAATAGAACTCTACTCTTATCCTTATCCGCGATGAGCGATCTCCCCTCATCTCCCATCTACTACTCCGTTGGATTGCTCTCTCCGCATCTCCCCTGATCCTTATCGCAGAATGGGGATCTCCCGAGGTACCGAACACTTCGACAGACAGAATACAGTAATCCTCCGAACGCCACAGTATAACCACGGTTCTTGATGACGCATCATCATCATAATTATTATCCATTACAATCCTGGTCCCCGAAGTTTTGGGTTGCTCCAGTCACTCAAAGCAGAGCCACTGATGGATGGATGTCGTCGTTGTCGCCGTCGATCCCTTACAGCCTCAGGCACCCGTATGTCCAGATGACTCAAAAACAATCTGACGTAGCGTTACGCGCCTAGACTAATAAAAGACCCCGGTACTACATCAACATGCATCGATCGATCTTACTCGGAACTTACTACTACTGTCGAGCGTCGAGTAACAAGTAGAAAATAGCAAGCATGCAGGGCGAAGTCCACCCAGTCCTCACCCTGAGTCATCTCATGTGCAAGCGATGACGCCGCTGATAGGGAGTATCCGGGGGGAGCTTGGAGCTTATCATCTGCCTTGCGCATGGATGCCTACGGAGTACTATTTATCCTCCCCGCGCAACCAGTGATACTCTGCATAACTGCTGCCTCTTCCGGATGACTTGCTTCTGGGTCTGGTTCTGGTCAGCTGTTCAGCTGTCATCATGGCAGTGTTATGCGATGTGATCTGATTGATTCGGCTTGGTTATGGAATGGACACTTTTGGAAGGTTCTGGGCTGGTTTCTTGTCACTTTGAGCTCACATGGACATGTGATTGTGTTGCGTGGCTGGTTGTAGACTAAGGTACTCGGTTGTGGCTGGTATGCCCTACCTGTTTGTCTTGATGATGATGATGATCTTGTAGTTGATTGTAGACTGGTGAGTCTGTAGCACGGATGAGATATATGACTTGCGGTCCCCAGCCACATAAGTCCAGCAATCGGTTGTTTCGCGCTATATATATATTTGATGTTTGGAACGTACAGTTAAATCTCACTTTGCGACGCGGAGTTAGCTCAAATAGAGCAACAGAGGGAACCGTTTAACAACAGGATAGTGTGTTATTCGGTGAGTGCTCAATTTCAACTGGCCAGAAAGCGAGAGAATTGAGTGTGTATGGACTGTATAAAATAATGCTAGAATCGAGGTCTGGTTACCTGATCCTCGCGACTTTACGGGAAATTGACCACTGCCACATGCATTCATGGGCTGCTGGACGCATGTAAACAGTAATTTAAGGTAGTCTGAAGGCATCAAGTTTGCGACTTAGTCTCCAGATGTCGCCCTCCGATGAAGCTGTATGTATTATTTGGAATGAGAACAACCGTAATATCATCAAGGTGTCCAGCACCATATTCACACCGAATCCGTATGATAACCACGCCCTCCAATGCAATTTACTCATCCATCTGCCACTGATAATCCAATGCCTCAAGTCTCCCCTTCTTATTCCTCGCTGCAAACCATTCCTTCTCGAACCCATTCCCCCGATCAACTCCATCCCACCGATGCCCCGGTCGGATCCCATACCGATTTGGCTGAAAAGCCCCCTTATACAGCGGCTTCCCCGTTACGCTCATGCCAGGCCCCTTCGTCTTGGTCAAAAACCCAGCCGCAGGATCATTCCACCGCTGCTGAGCCTTCAGCTCCTCATTCAGGGCATCATCTTCGATCGTCCGCGCAAGCGGCATCGCGCGAGCCTCCTGTATCTGCTGCCTGCGCGCCTCCCGCTCCGCCCGCTGCACATCGCCCATCAGCGCCTCCTTAGCCGCCTCCTCTTTCTCGCGCTTCTCCTGCTCCGCCCGCCGCGCCTCCGCCCGCTTCAGGGCAACGTTGATGATCCGCCCAGACGCATCACGGTAGATCGTCTCCTGCGCCTCCGCCGGCCGCTCCCGATGCCGCGCCGCCTCGGCCTTCTTCCGTCGTTCCTGCGCAGCTACCATCGCCGCCGTCTGTTCCGCCGTCTGCAGTCCCGCCCGAGCACCGGACTCCATCCGCAGATCTCCCCAGTCGTCGGCGTCCGCCTCGTCTACAACAGCAGGCGCCTCATCGTCGCCTTCTTCTCCTTCCCCACGGCGGGCTGCGCTCTCCGCCGCAGCGGACGCTAGGATCGCATCTGCGGCGTCCCGCTCATCATTCGCGTTCGAGCTGCCGGCCGCGGAACCACCCAGCGTCTTCCAATTCGATTTCTTCGCGCGGCGAAACTCCGCGCTCCGGACGGAGGTGACTAGACTCGGACCATCTTCATCCTCGTTGCCGAAATTCGTCGCCGACGTCCGTAGATCGGGCGGGTCGTCGTCGGCGATGATGAGGCCGTCTCCGGCGGTGTCGACGGTTTTGGTCTTCTTGCGTTTCTTTTTGGGGCGCTCGGTCGCTGGATCGGCTGTAAGGTAGTTTTTGGCTAGGTATTCCGCTAGTGATGAGGAGGGCATGATGTTGGCTCTGGAAGGGTTCAGATTGGAGGTGGAAGTTTGGCTTGAGCTTGAGCTTGGGCTTTTGCTGCGCGATCTTGCTATCGCGCTGATAGCCGGAGTTTTAGTTTTGCCGGTGCTTCGTATCCGTATCCGTATACGGAGTAGAGTGCCTGTCTTTCCCTGGGTCATACAGCGCAACATTAATCAATAATAATGATTGTGCTGATGAAGTAGATAATGCACTAGGGTCATCTCTCAAAATTTGAAGAGGGAAAGCATTGAGATGCCCCGCTCCGACGAGGC